GTGCTGCTGTTCCTGATGAGATCCCCCCACTTGAGGGTGATGAGGATGCATCTCACATGGAAGAAGTCGATTAAAAGTTCCTACTGTAACACCCCGTTGCCCCTGTATAGCATCCCTGTGTCTCCCACAGCAGCCTTGAGTTGCCCTCTCCCATCTGGCTCCATCTGCTGATAGCTAGTATTTTTCTTTTCTGTCCTGTGTGTTAACACAGGATGTAACTCTGGCCTCAACCTCAAGAATGAGGGTGGGATATTGTATATTGTGAGTTTTGTTTATTTTGTTCTGAAAATTAAAGTATGCAAAATAAAGAAGATGACATTTAAAAACAAAACCTAGTACCTTCAGGATTGCAGTGCAGCTTCTTGCCATTTGGTCACCAGAGTTCCCTATAGACTTTTAAATTAAAATAACCAGTAGCTGGGCTTTATTCAAGTCTTCTGGTCTATATCAAAGGAGACAGTTATTTATGTGGCAGCTTACCCATGCATTTGATATCCAATTCTGATCCCTTGTTTATCTTGTGATACTTCAGATGAAAGGAGACCAATTACGGTACCTTTGATGACTACAATAAACTAGGAGAGAGAAAAAAAATAGAAGTCCTGAGAAATAACATTACACCATTTGATTGTGTTGTCTCTCAAAGCCATTACCTTACACCTTAAAACCAAGAACAAATTCCATGTAGTCTTTGGTTATGCACATGTAGCTTCACCAGCTGCCCTCTTTTTTTGGGAGCGAGGTATGTAATAAAGCCTTTAAACTGGCAAATGTTTAGATTGGCTCCTAAACATGAATTCCTCTTAGTAGAGAATATTTAGTTAGTAGAAGTAAATTTGGTTACATCTTAGATGTTTAAAAACTGTAATCATTTAAGAAACAAATAATTGTCAGCTTTTTAAGTTATGTGAAAAATAGGGGGAAAAGCAGATTCATGAAAAACAGTAAAAGACGAAGACCTATGTAATGAAGTAGTGACTTGGGGAAACTTGTAAGAGAAAACCTAGGTATGGTTTTTTAGCGAAAACCTTATTCTGTGCTTCCTGACAATCAAGGGAAATAGAAGAACAGATTGCTGTGAGGAGGACTCACATTGATACTTCCCATCTATAATCAACATTGTGCCCCCAAAAGAGACAATTCTGCCTGGAAATTTGGATTGCCGTATAAAGGTCATCTTAACTCTGATTGATCAAGACTCCATGAGAATCAACTCTGTCATATGCTTTGGCAGTCTCTTGAGTGTTTGAACACCTTTCCCTGTCCTAGAACCCATGGACTAGTATCATGACAAATGATTGCAGAAGATTATATATATTCAATGCTGGAAAAATAAACATATATAGAAACACTTAACAGATGTATTAAAATACTTGAAGGTTGTTATGAAGAAGAGGTATGGGGTGGGGAAGAAAAAAGAACTCATATTCATTGGACACTTGTGACATGTCAGGAGGTTTACACTGGTTATCTTACTTAATCCTTATAGTTGTTTTAGGTAGTTATTATTAACCTCTTCTAACAGATAAAGAAGGTGAGGCTCTTAGCTATTAAGTAACTTGCTTATGGACATGTAGCTAGTAGGCCATGTAGGCAGAACTAGGATTCAGAATTGAAATGTCTCAAGAATGCATGTCATGAGGCTGTGATTTTTTCAGTTATCTCAAGATCCTTATTCTGCATAATTCCAGAGAGTAGAGCATGGCTGAGGCTTTCTGAAAAGCCGATTTTAATTTCTGTTAAGAACGTTATAAGGAATGGAGCCCTATGACAATAGTATGGGCTGCTCCTAAAGTTATGAGTCCTCTGAAATGAAAGGTGTTTAAATAGAAGTGGAATTATTTTTATTGACCAGGTTCTGCAAAGAATTTTGCCAAGAGAAGAAATGAGGTGAGAGTGACTTACATTAAAGGGCACAGGATTCTTCAACTCTAGTGTCTGTGATTTTAGGTTATACTTTTTACATAGAAAATAAAAATTGGATTTTGCCTTATATTCTCTCTAGCCCTTTTGCAGTTATATCTACTTTTCAAATCCTTAAATCATGCTTGGAAGGGTGATCAGATGGCGAAGGAGATGAAGACCCTCAACCAGGTGGATTGACATAGTGACTATAGCAATGGGCTCGAGTGTATCAGAAGTTGTTCATAGGGTTGCTATGAGTCATCTTGATGACATCTGTTTGTTTTTTTTCTTGTTGTATATCGTTGAATCGGATATGACTGGCACAGGAGAAGATTGTCCCTCCTTCCCCAGCAAAGCATCTGGTGAATTTGAACCAAGCTTCTTCACAGTTGCAGCATAGCTTCTTGCCACTAGGCCACCAGGACTCCCTTTGATGATCTTAACTACAGCCACAATCAAGACAGTTTCATTAATACCGATACTTTTAAGTGGCTTGTGACTCAGAAGGATGGTAGAGGAAAAGGAGGTGGCTATCTAATATTTTAAAAAGTAATGAGATTGCTATATAACAAGCCAAAGGAGCCTTGTTCTTATATGATGTTAGGGTGCTGACTGAAAAGTTGTTGACTAAAATCTATTGGCTGCTTGATGGGAGAAAGACAACAGTCTCTTCCTATAAAGATTTACACCCTCAGAAATCTGATGGTGTAAATTTTCACTCATTCATTTCTTTTTCTGTGACCAGCTGCTTTTAGAGCCTCCTAGACTGTTTCATGTAATTGAGAATATGTCTCTAAGCTTCTGTTTTGTTTCTTAATTTTATTTGTTTACTCTGGGATCAGTTTTTCTGTATATCTTGTTCTTTCTCTTTTATACCACTGACTTATCCATATGGCCAAGTATCCTTAAATTGCACATTTATGTTAATAAAAGATCTGAGTTTTTCCTGATTTGTATAAGCAAGTCTTTTAGCTCTACAATGCTTCTGTAAGTGGGAAATCTGTGGCAAGATGAGGAAGTGTTATTGACCAAGGGTAAAGAATAAAAAATGAGACAGAGCACCAAGTATGTATAAGAGAACAGAGAGGTGAAGCAGGGAGCCATCGAACAACTGAAGCCCAACTGAAACCTTGAATCCAGCTTCCTTGTGTCTTTATTGAAAACTGCCAAATTACAAAGAGAATTCTATGCAAATGAAGCTAAGCTCTTTCTACTGAAAATCTTATGCTTGCCTCAGGAGGGAAGGGTTAGCAAATATAATACAAGAATTGTGTAAATGCTTAAGGTTTGCCTTAGTGCCTACCCCTGTAAACAGCTAAAGTCTGCCTTAGTGCTTCAGGGTGAATTCCAGCTTGTATCAGCCCTTCCCTCATATCCTGATACAGCATTTGGTTTATTATAAATATTTAGTATGATATTTGGCTTCCCACAAGGAAGGGACTTACAAATTTTCAAGGAAGTGGTGGTTGGACTGCAGATTTGCCAAATTTCAAATGCAACATTTTTTTAGCATTTATATTAGAAGCCTCAGATTTCAGAGTCTACTTGTCAGTAAATAATAATAGAGCACCTACTTCATACCTACAATAACAAGTGGTTATATGCTCCCACTATCATGCCTTAGAGGACATTCTCACCTATAGCTTTCTCCACTTTTTCAGTCCTAAATAGTTTACTATTCATTTTCCATCTTCCATAACTTCATTGAGTTCTGTTGCTTGGTTGTGCTTCTCCTGAATTGTGTCCATAATTGTAGCTTTTGTTGGTTTATGCTTTTATCCATATACTTTTATTTTAGGAGATTCCAGGAGGGACATTAGACATTTACTCAGTATGTCATCTTGTACAAAAATTGTGACTTTTATAAATAAAAAGATGATTAAAATAGAAATCTAAGCTGCAGCCCTCCTTTTATGTTGCTATTTTTTACGGTAGTATAGAGGATCACTAAAACTTATTTTCAAGTCTTTTTTTATTTTTTATTAAATTTTAGTAATTTTTATGAACATTTACAGAGATGTGGGGATTTCATTCATTCATTGTTGCACTAT